CCGACAGCTTACAAGCGCAATTCGTACACCTCGCAGGAGAAGCTGCAATGGATTCTGAAGCTCGAAGCCGGAGAGATGAGTGTGCGGCGCATGTCTCGCGAATCCGGCATCTCCCGAAGGTGCCTCACGGAGTGGAAGAACCGCAAGGCTGAGCTTGAGGGCGCGCACGGTGCACGCTGTCGCTTGCACGGCCGCGGAAGGAGCTCGTGGTATCGCGACATGGAAGCGGAGGTGTACCGGAGGTTTCTCGCCCACCGCAAGAAGTGCCTCGCCGTCTCGATCGCACGACTGCAGAAGTGGTCGCGCGAGGTGATGAAAGAGTTACACCCAGGTGAAAAGTGGGCCGGCTCTCACCGGTGGACTCAGCACTTTCGCCGCCGCTGGAACCTGACGACCAGAGCGAAGACCCGGGTCGGCCAGAAGCTCTCGTCTAGTGAGTTGTTATTTGGTGGTATTGTTGTTTGTCTGTTCACGTCTATTCACGGCTCTCACACTGTGTTTGTGCTTTCTGTTTCTCCCATCCCGTGTCCCAGACTTCGAGGCTGATGTCAAGAACTTCTGGACGTACGTGCGTCACTCCCGCCGCCAGTACAAGATCGACCTGCCGTGGATTCTAAACGCGGACCAGACGCCCCTCTGGCTCGAGATGCCATCCGAACGCACCGTTGAAGAGGTTGGCTCGCGCTCCGTGCCCGTCCGCAGTGGCGGCTACCAGAAAGAGCGGGTTACAGTGATGCTCGCCTGCACCGCCAGCTGGGAGAAGTTGAAGCCGTGGGTCTTCTTCAAAAGGAAAACCGTCCCCAAAGGAGATTTCCCTTCAGGTATGCACCACACGTCGATTACGCGGTGGCCTGTTGATGTCCATTAAAAAATTCAACTAACATCGTGATTTTGTTGCTGTGCAGATATCCACGTGGGGGTCCATCCCAACGGTTGGATGGACGCGGACGGTGTCATCGAGTGGCTGGACGGGGCGGTGAAGCCGTACATCAACCCCAAGTTTGGAGTCCGCCCCCGCAAAGCTCTGCTCGTCCTCGATTCGTACCGCGGGCACCTCACCCCGGAGGTGAAGAAGAAGTTTGGCGAGCTGAACCTGGTCCTTGCGGTTATCCCTGCTAGCTGCACCTCGGAGATTCAACCCCTCGACGTCGCGGTTAACCGCTCCTTCAAGGCCGCCGTTCGCCAGCTCTACCAGGAGTGGTTTGAGTGTGAGGGGGTCGACACCTTGACGAAGAAAGGTGAGAGGTGCAGCCTTTCTGTTTATGTTTTTATTTCTTTAAGCCGTGCTGACTCGGTTTTTGGATTTGCGTGGCAGGCAACATCAAGAAGCCTCCTGTCGAGCTGACGCTCAAGTGGATCTCGGCGGCCTGGAAGTCCGTGCCCAAGGAGCTCATCCAACGGGCGTTCCTCACCTGCGGCATCAGCAACGCCCTGGATGGGTCCCAGGACAAGCTCTGCCTGCAACATAGGCGGGACGAGCTCGAGGGCGATGAGGTCGACATGGATGGTGAAATTGCAGCAGACGGTTTCTTCTGCAACAACGTAGAGGAACCTGAGTCGGACTCGGAGGCCGACCCAGATGACCCAACTGCAGCTGATGATTAGAGTAGGGTAGATGTGCCTAAAATGGTGAAGCCTGTATGGGGCTCGTTGGTAGGAGTAGATTACCGTAACTAGTTGTAGATTAGCTAAGATGTTTTAGTGGATTAATTGTGGAAAATGTCTAACATTAACAGATGCATGTTAGGGTGAATGAGGTCACAGATGCATGTTAGGCTGAATGAGGTCACAGATGCATGTTAGGGTGAATGAGGTCACAGATGCATGTTAGGCTGAATGAGGTCACAGATGCATGTTAGGGTGAATGAGGTCACAGATGCATGTTAGGCTGAATGAGGTCACAGATGCATGTTAGGCTGAATGAGGTCACAGATGCATGTTAGGGTGAATGAGGTCACAGATGCATGTTAGGCTGAATGAGGTCACAGATGCATGTTAGGGTGAATGAGGTCACAGATGCATGTTAGGGTGAATGAGGTCACAGATGCATGTTAGGGTGAATGAGGTCACAGATGCATGTTAGGGTGAATGAGGTCACAGATGCATGTTAGGCTGAATGAGGTCACAGATGCATGTTAGGGTGAATGAGGTCACAGATGCATGTTAGGGTGAATGAGGTCACAGATGCATGTTAGGGTGAATGAGGTCACAGATGCATGTTAGGGTGAATGAGGTCACAGATGCATGTTAGGGTGAATGAGGTCACAGATGCATGTTAGGCTGAATGAGGTCACAGATGCATGTTAGGCTGAATGAGGTCACAGATGCATGTTAGGGTGAATGAGGTCACAGATGTAAGTTAGGGTGAATGAGGTCACAGATGCATGTTAGGGTGAATGAGGTCACAGATGCATGTTAGGGTGAATGAGGTCACAGATGCATGTTAGGGTGAATGAGGTCACAGATGCATGTTAGGGTGAATGAGGTCACAGATGCATGTTAGGCTGAATGAGGTCACAGATGCATGTTAGGCTGAATGAGGTCACAGATGCATGTTAGGGTGAATGAGGTCACAGATGCATGTTAGGCTGAATGAGGTCACAGATGCATGTTAGGGTGAATGAGGTCACAGATGCATGTTAGGCTGAATGAGGTCACAGATGCATGTTAGGGTGAATGAGGTCACAGATGCATGTTAGGCTGAATGAGGTCACAGATGCATGTTAGGCTGAATGAGGTCACAGATGCATGTTAGGGTGAATGAGGTCACAGATGCATGTTAGGCTGAATGAGGTCACAGATGCATGTTAGGGTGAATGAGGTCACAGATGCATGTTAGGCTGAATGAGGTCACAGATGCTGTGGGCAATGACTGGAGAGAGCGTGGGTGAATGAGAATGGGGTGAGTTTGGTAGGGGGAGGGGACGTTCGAGGTGAGAGGAGGGAGCTGTCTGGGTGGGCGAGGCAGACATTCACTGCCAGTTGAGCCAGCAGCAGCAAGGGGAGCGCCGTGGACGCAGCCGGATATGGTCGAGCTTTTCCTATCCTCCACCCGCTTGCGCCTCGTCACCTGTTGCCTCGTGATCCTCGCGTCCTCCTCTTCCTCCCCTTCTCTCCTCGCGTCCTCCTCTTCCTCCCCTTCTCTCCTTGCAACCTTCTCTTCCTCCCCTTCTCTCCTTGCAACCTCCTCTTCCTCCCCTTCTCTCCTTGCAACCTTCTCTTCCTCCCCTTCTCTCCTTGCAACCTTCTATTCCTCCCCTTCTCTCCTTGCAACCTTCTCTCCTTGCAACCTTCTCTTCCTCCCCTTCTCTCCTTGCAACCTGAGCGCTACAGCATGCTGTGCTGTCCATACGCGGCATGACATCAGCGTGCAGCAGGAGCGGCATGACATCGGCGTGCAGCAGGAGCGGCTGGTGGTCAAGCTTTTCCCACCCTCCCCATGCCGCACTCTCCTTCCCTTCCTTTCCTCCACTGTCCTCCTGTATCCTCCTCTGCTCCCATCCATTCATCAGACCCCAGGTGTCCTGAGCTCTACAGCGTGCTGTGCAGAGGAGGCCTTGACATTCCCTCCACTCCACCCCTTCACTCCACCCCTTCACTCCACCCCTTCACTCCACCCCTTCACTCCCATTTCCCCCTTGCCTCACCTTGTTGCCTCACCTTGTTGCCTCACCTTGTTGCCTCACCTTGTTGCCGTGTCGTCCGCTCGTCCCCATGGCGCAGGTACCCAGAGCTGCGCAGCATGCTGTGCATCGGAGGCATCGACATGCGGCAGCAGCTGGAGGTGGTCAAGCGCGGCGTGCACATGGTGGTCGCCACGCCCGGCCGCCTCAAGGACTTGCTGAACAAGAAGCGCATGAACCTGGACATCTGCAAGTACCTGTGCCTGGACGAGGCGGACCGGCTCATCGACCTGGGGTTCGAGGACGACATCAGGGAGGTGTTTGACCACTTCAAGGCGCAGCGCCAGACGCTGCTCTTCTCCGCCACCATGCCCAAGAAGATCCAGGCCTTCGCCAAGAGCGCGCTCGTGAAGCCTGTCATGGTCAACGTGGGGCGCGCAGGTGCAGCGAACCTGGACGTCATTCAGGAGGTGGAGTACGTCAAACAGGAGGCCAAGATTGTCTACCTCCTCGAATGCCTCCAAAAAACGCCGCCCCCGGTGCTGATTTTTTGCGAGAACAAGGCGGATGTGGACGACATTCACGAGTACCTGCTGCTGAAGGGCGTGGAGGCGGTGGCGGTGCACGGCGGCAAGGACCAGGAGGAACGTGAGGCCGCCATCGCGGCGTTCAAGGCGGGGCGGAAGGACGTGCTGGTGGCGACGGACGTGGCGTCCAAGGGGCTGGACTTCCCCGACATCCAGCACGTGGTGAACTACGACATGCCCGCTGAGATCGAAAACTACGTCCACCGCATCGGCCGCACGGGGCGCTGCGGCAAGACTGGCATCGCCACCACCTTCATCAACAAGAACCAGGTCCGTGCGTGAGGGCGGTGTGTGGGTGAGGGAGAGGGTGAGAGGAGAGAAAAGGGAGAGGGAGAAGGAGCGGGTCATTGAGTTTGCTATCTTGGGGCGGTGGGGTGGGGAGAGAGCGAGGGAGATGGGCATGTATATGGGTTGGTGTGAAAAGATGGAATCTGACATGACCTTCAGTAGCACCGCATTCCTCCCCCTCCACCCACCCGCCCCTGTGCCCCAAATGCCCCAAATGCCCCAAATGCCCCAAATGCCCCAAATGCCCCAAATGCCCCAAATGCCCCAAATGCCCCAAATGCCCCAAATGCCCCAAATGCCCCAAATGCCCCCTACCAGGTTCAAACACGTTGTGTTGAACAGAGGAAGTTCGACATCTGTCTCCTCCTCCTCCTCCTCCTCCTCCTCCTCCTCCTCCTCCTCCTCCTCCTCCTCCTCCTCCTCCTCCTCCTCCTCCTCCTACTCCTCCTCCTCTCCCCCCACCCCTTCCTCTGCTCTTGATCCCCCCTTACCCGCGCAACAGAGTGGGGCAATTCTGTTGGATCGGAAGCAGCTGCTGGGGGAGGCAAAGCAGTAGCATTAGGCGTGGCGTGTGCAGCAACCATCTTGCTCTCTCTCCCACACCCCCCCTTCCCCCACACCACCGCCCCACAGAGCGAGACCATTCTGCTGGATCTGAAGCATCTGCTGCGCGAGGCCAAGCAGCGCATCCCGCCGGTGCTGGCCTCTCTGGACGACCCCATGGAGGACGCCGAGGCGCTGGCTGCCGCCTCCGGCGTGCGCGGGTGTGCCTTCTGTGGCGGGCTGGGCCACCGCATCAGCGAGTGCCCCAAGCTGGAGCACCAGAAGACCCAGGCCATCTCCGGCTCGCACAAGGACTACCTGGGCTCTGGCGGATATGGTGGCGAGATGTAACTGGACTGTTGGGGGGACATGTAACCCGAATGTTGGGGGAAGATGTAACCAGACTGTTGGAGGGAGATGTAACCAGACTGTTGGGGGGAGATGTAACCAGACTGTTGGTGGGAGATGGAACGAAATGTAACCAGAATGCAGCGTTATGTCCTGGCTTGATTCGGGCGTTTAGCACAGGTCTGGCAGGGCTGTGGCAGGGCTTCATGGGGGAGGCTAGTAGGGGCACCGTGCGGCATGTGCAGGTGCGGCGTGCGTTATGCGGGGGCCTGGGGTATCCCATCAGCGAATGCCCCGAGGTGGAGCACCAGAACGTTCAGGCCATCCCCTAGTCACTCACAAGGACTACCGTCAGCCCCCGGATAAGCCCGCCCCTGGGGGTATAATAAAACACATTATTTTAGGAGGGTGGGCTTATAATCGAGGAATTTTATAAGCGTCGGCGTTAATATTAAGGCATTAATGAAATGTTTTTTTTATATATATGAAACCGAAGCGTTTTCAAAGGTGGATTCACCTGAGTCGATATCATTTGAAAATGTGCACGAATTCCACATGAAAAGGCCAACAAGGCGTAGATTCACGCCTTCCACGCCTTGTTGGCCAGGCCAGGTTCATCAAACGTGAACCTGGCCCATGCCAGCGCACACTCAGTTTGATTCCGTCATACCCCGGATATACCCCCATGGGGGGCACTAATGAAACATGTTCTTTTTAGGGGGTGGGCTTATAATATAGTAAAACTATAAGCGCCGTCGTTTATGTTATGTCAAAAAAGAAATTTGTTTTTAAATATACCAAATCGAAGCACTCTTAAAGGCGAATTCACCTGAGTCGAGAACGTTCGGAACTGTGCATGCTATGCGCGTGAAACGGCCAACAAGGCGTGGCAACACGCCTTCCACGCCTTGTTGGCCAGGCCAGGTTCATCGAACGTGAACCTGGCCCATGCCAGCGCACACGTACCTCGCATCACAGCGGCCCAATCAGGGTTGCATGCGATCGTGGGCACGTCGTGGTTCAGCCACGGCGTGCCCATCAACAGCAAGATACCCTGCCACCGAGGCAAAGAGCTGCCCAGCTCAGCTCCTCTGCGGGGAATCTTGACTGTGGCCACACTTTCCCCGCAGAGGAGGCCGGGCCGCGAAACTGAAGGGGTCTCGGGCGAGGGCTTCATACGGCCCTCATTGTCAACGTTTGGTTCAGTTTCTTTCGTTCGTTTGGCCTGCCGTGGCCATGGCGGGCCTTCCAGGCACGCATTTCTTGTTCCGTCGCTAACCTGCTGCTCGAGAAAATACCCGCAGAGACACCCGTGACTACTCTCAATGGCAGACGCGCCATGCGCCCGTCCCTCCATCACGACCAGTAGTGCCTCCCGTTCCTCCCACTCCTCCTACGCCTCCTACCCCTCATGCTCCCCCGGCGCCTCCTATACCTCCCGTTCCTCCGTCCCCTCCTGACCCGCCTGCTGTTGGTGTTCCGCGACAGGGGGTTCTGCAGCTTCTCCTCCCCCCTGGCTACTCGGCGTTCGACGCCTTCCTGTCCGAGCCTGAACGCAGCGGCGGCGAAGGATCTTCCTCCGCACCGGAGCCACGGTGGGGAGCGCCGGCTGATTGCCCGTTGGACGAATCCGCTACCGGTGCCGACGACGACGTGGAGTTCTGGGCTGCTGACGGTCTCTCCAAGCACCTTCCAATTCCCTCTTTTCCTCCTCCGAATAAGAAAAGGCCTCACCCATCTCGCGATAATCGTGATGCCCGTCCTCCCTCCCCCAGGCACAAGCCGACAGCTTACAAGTGCAATTCGTACACCTCGCAGGAGAAGCTGCAATGGATTCTGAAGCTCGAAGCCGGAGAGATGAGTGTGCGGCGCATGTCTCGCGAATCCGGCATCTCCCGAAGGTGCCTCACGGAGTGGAAGAACCGCAAGGCTGAGCTTGAGGGCGCGCACGGTGCACGCTGTCGCTTGCACGGCCGCGGAAGGAGCTCGTGGTATCGCGACATGGAAGCGGAGGTGTACCGGAGGTTTCTCGCCCACCGCAAGAAGTGCCTCGCCGTCTCGATCGCACGACTGCAGAAGTGGTCGCGCGAGGTGATGAAAGAGTTACACCCAGGTGAAAAGTGGGCCGGCTCTCACCGGTGGACTCAGCACTTTCGCCGCCGCTGGAACCTGACGACCAGAGCGAAGACCCGGGTCGGCCAGAAGCTCTCGTCTAGTGAGTTGTTATTTGGTGGTATTGTTGTTTGTCTGTTCACGTCTATTCACGGCTCTCACACTGTGTTTGTGCTTTCTGTTTCTCCCATCCCGTGTCCCAGACTTCGAGGCTGATGTCAAGAACTTCTGGACGTACGTGCGTCACTCCCGCCGCCAGTACAAGATCGACCTGCCGTGGATTTTAAACGCGGACCAGACGCCCCTCTGGCTCGAGATGCCATCCGAACGCACCGTTGAAGAGGTTGGCTCGCGCTCCGTGCCCGTCCGCAGTGGCGGCTACCAGAAAGAGCGGGTTACAGTGATGCTCGCCTGCACCGCCAGCTGGGAGAAGTTGAAGCCGTGGGTCTTCTTCAAAAGGAAAACCGTCCCCAAAGGAGATTTCCCTTCAGGTATGCACCACACGTCGATTACGCGGTGGCCTGTTGATGTCCATTAAAAAATTCAACTAACATCGTGATTTTGTTGCTGTGCAGATATCCACGTGGGGGTCCATCCCAACGGTTGGATGGACGCGGACGGTGTCATCGAGTGGCTGGACGGGGCGGTGAAGCCGTACATCAACCCCAAGTTTGGAGTCCGCCCCCGCAAAGCTCTGCTCGTCCTCGATTCGTACCGCGGGCACCTCACCCCGGAGGTGAAGAAGAAGTTTGGCGAGCTGAACCTGGTCCTTGCGGTTATCCCTGCTAGCTGCACCTCGGAGATTCAACCCCTCGACGTCGCGGTTAACCGCTCCTTCAAGGCCGCCGTTCGCCAGCTCTACCAGGAGTGGTTTGAGTGTGAGGGGGTCGACACCTTGACGAAGAAAGGTGAGAGGTGCAGCCTTTCTGTTTATGTTTTTATTTCTTTAAGCCGTGCTGACTCGGTTTTTGGATTTGCGTGGCAGGCAACATCAAGAAGCCTCCTGTCGAGCTGACGCTCAAGTGGATCTCGGCGGCCTGGAAGTCCGTGCCCAAGGAGCTCATCCAACGGGCGTTCCTCACCTGCGGCATCAGCAACGCCCTGGATGGGTCCCAGGACAAGCTCTGCCTGCAACATAGGCGGGACGAGCTCGAGGGCGATGAGGTCGACATGGATGGTGAAATTGCAGCAGACGGTTTCTTCTGCAACAACGTAGAGGAACCTGAGTCGGACTCGGAGGCCGACCCAGATGACCCAACTGCAGCTGATGATTAGAGTAGGGTAGATGTGCCTAAAATGGTGAAGCCTGTATGGGGCTCGTTGGTAGGAGTAGATTACCGTAACTAGTTGTAGATTAGCTAAGATGTTTTAGTGGATTAATTGTGGAAAATGTCTAACATTAACATTAAAAAAAAAAAAAACAAAAAAAAACAGGGTGGCGGTTATAAAATGTAAGGCACAGGTATGCGGTTATAATCTGTAAGCCTTTTAGGTATGCGCTTATAATCGAGCACCGGATATAAGCGCCACACGCCAATTAAAAGCGCCAGGCGCTTATCCGAGGGTGGCGCTTATATCCGGGGTATGACGGTAACTGCCCGATCCGCGTTGCCTGTGGTGCAGGGCACGTCATGGTACAGCCACGACGTGCCCACTCTGTGCGAGATAACCCGCCACAGAGGCAGAGAGCTGACCAGCTCCGCTCCTCTGCGAGGAATCTTGGCTGTAACCACCCCTTTCCCGCAGAGGAACCCAGGCCGCGAAACTGGAGGGGTCTCGGGCGAGGATTTCATACGGCCCTCATTCTCCACGCTCTCTCTCCAGTTTTCTTGTTTCGTTTGGCCTGCCGTGGCCATGGTGGGCCTTCCAGGCACGCACTTCCTGTTCCAGCACCAACCCGTTGCTAGAGACAACCGTGATTGTTCGCAATGGCAGAGTCGCCCTGTGCCCGTCCCTCCAACACACCCAGCCGTGCCTCCCGTTCCTCCCACTCCTCCAACGCCTCCTTATCCCCCCACTCCACTGGCGCCCCCGGTTCCTCCCGCTCCTCCATCCCCTCCTGCTCCGCCTGTCATCGGTGTTCCACGTAAGGGAATTCTGCAGCTTCTCCTCCCTCTTGGCTACTCGGCGTTCGACGCTTACCTGTCCAAGCCTGACCGCAGCGGCACTGAAGCATCTTCCTTCGCACCGTCGCCATGCTGGGGAACCCCAGCTGATTGCCCGTTGGACAAATCCGCGGCTGGTGCCGAAGGCGATGTTGAGTTCTGGGTGGCCGACGGACTTCCCAAGCACCTGCCCATTCCCACCTTTCCCCCTCCTAATAAAAAGCGTTCCCACCCTTCTCGAGAGAATCGCAATGCCAGTCCTCCCTCCCCCAGACACAAGCCTACAACACACAAGCGCCAATCGTATACCTCCCAGGAGAAGCTGCAGTGTATTCTGAAGCTTGAATCTGGGGAGATGAGTGTGCGGAGGATGTCCCGCGAAACTGGCATCTCCCGAAGGTCACTCGCTGAGTGGAAGACCCGGAAGTATGAGCTGGAGGGCGCGCATCGGGCTCGCAAGCGCCTTCATGGTTGCGGAAGGAGTTCGTGGCACCGTGATATGGAGCTGGAAGTCTACGCGAAGTTTCTCGCCCACTGTAAAAAGTTTCTCGCCCACTGTGAAAAGTTTCTCGCCGTCTCGGTGTCCCGCCTGCAGAAGTGGTCACACGAGGTGATGAAAGTCCTACATCCAGAGGTAAAGTGGGCCGGCTCTCATCTGTGGGCTGAGCGCTTTCGCCGACGCTGGAACCTGACAACTCGAGCGAAGACCAGGGTTGGCCAGAAGCTTGCGGCCAGTGAGTTGTTCGTGCTGTCATCGTTAACGGTTTTGTGTTTTTTGGTGATCCC